TTCTTCCTCTACAACCTCCCCCCCCAAAAAAAAATATTTAACATCTTGCGAAACATTCACTTTTTGCAATAAGATAACAGAAAATATACTTACTCCCCATCTTTTATGAGAAGTTTGGAAATAAAATCTTTAGCCTCTGCTGAAATTTTCTCAAAGCTTTCATCGTCAAAATCATACACTGCTTTGGTGACATTAGCCATAGTTTCAAGATCACTGTCACCCATAAATGGAGATAATCCTGATAACCTAAAACAAAATGAGAAATGCGAGGAAATGCCTTTAAGCTTTTTTGTTGTTGTTATCTAGTATTAAAACATTTATACGACATTTCTTCTTGAATACCAGAGTTTGATTGTTTCAGCGCAAAGCTACAGAACAGGTTATCTGTGCTGTGACGTAATGACCCCAACTTTTAGTGATGTGATTTTGAAATAATTACTGTGACATAAGAACAACATGTTCTAGCCATAGAAAGTAGGATTTCTTGTGAAAGAAAGAATAAAATACATTAAGTTACAATTAAATACGAAAAATTCTTTAATAAAGATGTTTGATAATGAGCAAAACAAAACTTTCAGACGCAAAAGATGAAATAGTTGTTAAGCATAATTACATATTATTTGAATCTGTCTATAAGCCACCTGAGAAAATATATACTAAAATATTATGCTCTGTTCTAGTACTACTTACAGAACATAACAAACAACGCCCACACTCCACATATCCGTCTTGTAGGTGACCATCTCAAAGTTCACAACCTCAGGTGCGACAAATTCTGGGGTTCCAAACAGGACCTGGAGCTTTTTCGTCGGATCATACTTCCTCGCCAAACCAAAATCTATTAGCTTGATACGGTTTCCTGTTCTTGTGACGCAGAGAATATTTTCTGGCTGAAACACAGGAGCCATAACAATAGCAACCACGTCTTTAGAAGTTACTTTGAAGAAAGAAGCTTCCATGTAAAATTAGACTACAAAATAAAGAATGAAGTAATGAATTAATTTAAGAAAGTTAAACTTCGAACAACGAGTACGAATTAAGTTTTATTCAATAACTTAAAAAGATACAGAAGTTAGCGATCTGTAGTTGGCTTTTTTTCTGTAAAAATACAACCTCAGAGCTACGCCACTGACACACTACTAACCAAAGATTATAACGCTTAACTCACACAACTGACCTACCTTCATGTCTAAATGAAGAATATTTTGGCCGTGCATATATTCTACACCTTCACAGATTTGTCTTGTGAATATAGAACAAGCTTTTTCAGTGAGGATAAAGTCGTCGTCAATGACACGTTCAAACAGTTCCCCTCCTTCTATCCTGTGGAAAAAACAAACTTTTACCCGACTAAAAATATGGAACAAGCTTTTTCAGTAAGGATAAATTCGTCGTCAATGACATGTTCAAACAGTTCCCCTCCTATCCTGTAGAAAAACAACTTTACACTACTAAAAATATTATCCACACGAGTCTAAAGGTTGTAAACATAACTCACGCACAGTGTGCAACAGATACATTTTCTTATAACTAGCTATGACATTACGCATAATTTTCAGTCGTACAAGTGTGGGGGAAAGGAGATGTGTGAACATACTTACTATCAAATATTTGGCTACAGATGTTTTGTATTCTGGATGGGGTTTCACTTAAAGAATGAAGACAGAAAACGTGGCCATCTTTGAAACTACAAATAAGGATTAATTACTAAATTCTAGTTCAATCAAGATTGAAGTTTCTTAACTAATCAGGTACTGAATCTTCCTTTTCGAAACTCTTCATCCCAAAAGTATATTTGAAGACAAATCTTCAAGTAAACAAATGCCATTTAAATAATGCGTCTACTTTTTTACGAGAACTGGAAAGAAGAATAGCTCATTGATGAAACTTCTCATAAACTTATAGAACACTGGAACATCTCAATCATTTTAAAAATCGCAAGAAAGCCTCCAAAACGCTGTTAACACATCTTTTCTAGTGTTGAAAACCCCGAAGTATTGGTCGCCATTTTTTGGAATGTAAATATGGTATTGACTTTAGCGTACAATTCAATAAAATGCACTTTACTTTACTTAGTCGAGAAACATATTACATTTGACGAGGTCAAAGTTATGTTCATTAACTTTTAAGACTTCTATTGTCTAACACAGTCATAATGTAATTTCAACAACAGAACAAATCGACTTAACAGTAGATTTTGCTCAATAGCCTGTACTTAAGTGAAGGTAAAAAACATTACGTATGAAAATTGCTTAACAACAATAAAAAAGTAGGATACAAATTTTAAAAGGATGTTCATCTTTCCTTCACGATTAGTCGGGCAGAAAGAAAAGTGTCCGACTCGTGTGCGACTGTGGTGTCGCCTAGTGTACAAAATCGTAACTAAATAAAAATTATAGTACTTTATTTACATATTGCATTGCCACTCATATCTGCCATTGACGGGATTTGGGCACGAATTTTAAAGAAAAGGTTTGGTTTTTCCGTAACCAAACGTTTTATAAAATAACATTGCAACAAAACTGACACGTACGTTTATCTTTAATGCGAGGCCAAACTTAAAAATATTAAAAGTAAAATAAGTAGTTTATGGAAAGACATGACAAACCTACAACTGTTCTTAAAACAAAATAACCAAATGCAGTTTTAAAAGTTAATCTACTCAGACACTATTTGGCATTTTTCAAGTGATTCTAACAGAAAAAAAGTATTTTCACTAATTTACTTGCTCCAAAGAAATGTTCTTAAAAGCTAATGGAACTTTCCGATAAGTGGCGTCAAGTTACACCAAGATCAACAGTTAGATGTCCGACTAGTACCATACAAGAAGAACGTTAAAACAATTAAACTCATTTTCAAGTACGTTTAAGACAAACTGAATAACACGTTCCACAGAGGAAAAGGAAAAAAAAATCAGCAATACAAAATATGAAGGAAGTTAGATTGGAAATGAAAGAATAATGCTTGTGACGATTATTTTAAAAGAACTTCAGTATAGGTATGAATTTTAAAGAGTTCCGTACAGGGTAAAAGGCCAAAAGTAACAAATATGGACAGAATGCGAAACAATTTCGTTTTATCTAGGTGCAGTAAATAATAATGTCTAATAACTGCTTGAACCACCTGTTGCCTCTAATAAAGGCCATGGGAGGACATGCCAAAGAATCTACAAAGTGCTGAAAGGTGTCCTGAGGGAATCTCACCCTTTCAGTCATTAATACCATATGAAATTTATGGATCTAGAGACAAAGAATTATGATGATAAATTAGTCTTAAGTTTATCCACAAATGCTCAATTGGGTTAAGATTCGGGGATTTATTTGGTTATAGGAAATCCCCGAAGTCTGTCATTCTTCAAACAATACATGCACAGTTTGGTCGTGGTGAATGGGAGCATTGTGATCTTAGAAATAACTGTCTCTTTCAGAGTAAACATACAGCATCACTGGATGTACTATCAGGAACGATGGTAAGGTAAACTGAGAAATTCATTATACCCTTTAGAGTATGCCTAGAAAACATGCCCTAAACCATGACTCCTACTAGAGGCTCGGACAGCTGGGACCACACAAGAGAGATGGACTGATTTGTGTGGATTTTTTTCAAATCTATCTTCTCCAACAATATGTGCAGAAAAAAGGGTAGAGTGAGACTCGGCCTGCATCACTTTTCGCCATCCTCCCCCTCCCCCAATTAGTCCAATATCTGCTCTTACACCACTAGAGTTTTTTTTCTTGATGATAAAGGTCAATGTTTTACTCAGTGGTCTGTTATCAGAGTCCATTCCTCGCAGTGTTCTTCTCAAGGTTCGGCTGGAGATGGGTGTATATTACTGTGTATTTTTTGTCTGTCACTTATTGTATTGTTTGACGACATTTGGACTTTACCGTCGTGTCTAACCACCTTTCTTCTCTTCGTGTTACATGTTTTTGGCTATGGTTTCCCTCGCAGCAAAAGTTACATTTACCTTTTGCTAATGCTGATAAACTCCAAGGACCGATGTCGTAGAATAGCCTATCAACGAAACTGTCCTCGCCACTGGTGCCTATCAGATGTGTACCCATGATGATGCCTCTTTCGAAGGCTGCAGTGTTTTTGCCCTTCCCTATATCTGTTGAACTACAGGAAGTGTACTTGTCCTAGTCATTCATAGTACTGAAGGAATCACATATCATGTGATCAATCTAATTTACATCTGAAACTCAGTTTAGGCTGAAGTCCAAATGGAGATATATATATATATATATATTAAAATTCAGGAAACACCTAACACCTAAAATAGAATGAGATTTTCGCTGTTTTCTCAATTTTAAAAAGGTCCTAATAAAGTGACAAACCAGTATATATGTTAAGAGTAACTTCTCACTAAAACTTTAAACCGAAAATAGAATTTTAAACTTTCCAAATAGATTGTTATATATTTGAACTTAATTTGATGAATGAATTTCAGATTGGATTACATTTCTCATACGACTGTTAATTAACTTTTAACTTTCACATAATTAGTTAGTTCCTCCACGCCGAATTTCTAGTGATTTAAGAATGATCGCTCACGATTTCCTTAATATTCGAGTAAAGTTTTCCCTTAAACCAGAATTTCTCTTTCAATTATAAAAGTGCCTGAAAAGACAACAATAATGACTGTTTAAAATACATTTCCGTTGAACTGATATTACCAATTGTTAGTTCAACTACCTGTCGATTATCAATTATAAATCTTGATGAAAAGCACCAAGCGTGCTTATATTAAACATATCTTTAAAGCTAATAAATGATGAAATTACAAAACATAGTTCAGAAAAAACTAAAAAAACTATGAACGAAATAAGGTTTGAAAATAGTATTATATAACAATGAATGTTGAAAGGAAATATTATTTACGAACAGCTCTAATATCAAGCACATTTCTTTTTTCCCGTCATCAAAGGCGTCGTACAGCTGAAGAAGTCGAGGGTGTTGAAGTGTTCTCATAATCTCTACTTCACGCTCTACATCTTTCCGGTCTTCTGCTCTATTTGTTATGACAAATTTTGCCGCTAGACAACGTCCTGTTAACTTTTCCTTGCACTTGTAAACTGTGCCGAATTTTCCTCTAGAAATAAAATTCATAAAAATAAAGCCAAATAGAGTAGTTTTTTTAAATTACCAAACAATTTTAAGTTATTGTAAAATCTCATATGAATGGTCGTATCTAGAATAAATGTATTGCACAGATGTTTTGTGTCCCATTATAATATCACACTTTCTATGAAGAGACTAGATATTTCTTGTACTTTGTCCTTTCTTGTTTGAGTAGACTATTTGCTTAATTTTACTTTTCATCCAAACTTAAAATATTTAAAACTTATCCTCTTACGAGTAAAGGAGGAGGAGGGAAAACATCTCTTATATCCAAATTTAAGAAAGTTCCACCAGAGGTCGCGCCAAAAAAGTTAATATTTGATTATTAAGCACAAAGCTCCAGAATGGACTATTTATACTGTGCTCAACACGGGTATCGAAATTCAATTTTTCTCGTCATAAGTCCGGAAACTCACTGCTGAATTATCGTGGGAGGAGCTTGTGTTAATGAATATATTTATATTATTATTTTTATTTTTTAAATAAAAGTTTCATACACTTTACCACGTAAGTGTTAGAAATTATCCGTGATTCTGAGAAAAATGTTTAGTCAAAATCTTTACTGAAGTTTTCCATGCTTACTTAACTACATATTGATAGAGTTTATTAACGGAAAAACTGAAATGTGATAACATTTCTTAAGGTAGTTCATTGATGCTTGAACAGTATTTCATAATGGGGATGTTGAAAACCACCGAATACAAATTGTGATTCTTATATGGAATGGAAGCCACGCAAATATATGTAACTATTTAAGTAAAGCTTTTAATCACATACTTTGATACAATGTTCACTACAAGTTTATCATAAATATGTTAAAAGCAAGCATTTATCTTCTAATATCAGCAGCAGTTGAGAGGTATTCTTATACCGGAAGCTAGAAGATGCTGAAGCACTCCCCAGAACCACAAGTTCCCCCACTAATAAGGTAGTCTTATTCTCAAAAAGGAAAAACAAATAAACAAAACAAAAACACTAGCCTTTCATTTATTTTTCTTACAACAGATGGAAGCACTAAACTGTATTTAAACAGGAGGCCATTATTAATTTTTCGACAGAGCTGGTCTTAACAATAAGTGTTCTTTTGTCTAAAGATATTTCTTGTGTATTCATTTATACCACTTGAATCTGAAACGGCAATTTTAAATTACAGTATTTCAACGTGTAGGAAGACAAAGCTTAATTTACAATGATGTACATATTTGTTAAAGAAAAAAATCGCTTTAACAACATAAACATTGTCTGGCTAAAGCTTGTGTTATTTTATTGTTGTTAAGATCACTTGAGTAGCTAAATTGTTCAAAGATAAAACTCAAGTGGTGTCACAGTCAACAATACGAAGTTATCCCAGCGATAATTTTTTGTATATAAACTAGGATTTCAGTCATCGTACACCGACAAATAACGACATTTAAACTAAAACTACTTATTAGAGCTTCATGTTACATTAATTCATATTCCAATTCATAAACACAATTTTCGATACATCTTTAATGGTACTGTGCGTATGACAAAATTCGATAAAAACAAACTCGCAAGTCAGGAAAATAACCAAAGAACCTCTTGAAAAGTCAGTCAGCCGTTGTCATTTTAATAACGCCCAAACTAGTAAAGTAAGTTTGATGCATAATCTCGCGAAATATTGCCATAATCTTTAAGTGACCTAATATATATGAAGGTCCAAAAGGAAGAAAAAAAAACCGTATTTTAACTACTTTTCTTTATTTCATGTAGAAAGCTGGCGACGAGGTCTCTGTTACAACATTTCATGACTTATGAACAAGATTAATTTGTTGTTGTTGTTTTTTTTTAGAGTAAAGCTATGAAATGGGCTATCTTAAATGCTGCAAGAGGGACAACAGTTAAATTAATATAGTATGCAATGTTTTGTTGTTGAGCACAAAGCTATCTACGCTGTGTCAGTAGCAGAGATAGAACTGAATTTTAGCGATTCAAGCTCTCAATCTTGCTGTTGGATCACTAGGGAGGAGGTGGTGGAACAAACGTTTAAGTATCTTATGGTAGAATATATATGTTGAAAAGAGAGTAATACTATTAATAGTTTGTAACTGAATTAATTAATTCGTTATTCTTGATGGTTAACAATGTTAAAAATGCACTACATTCTTGTTTTTCCCTTCAAGCCTATAAATCAGGCTTTAAACATGCAAGTTAATACATCAAGATGGCGAAGAGTTTTTTTTTTTTATTTTTTTATTTCTTCTCTTAAAAGTTTGACAAAATTAAAACACTAGAATCTAGTTTTTTATGGATTAATAAAAAAAAAAAAGTTTGTTAGGGTGGATAAATGCTGAACAATTTATCTGCCCTAAAACATTTACACCCCACCCCCACACAGTAAACTTTTTTCTATGTATGGAAAAAATATAGTATTAAATAGACCTATGGTTCCCCAAAAAAACAAATATAGGGTCGATCTGTAGAGTGTTATCGGTGTCAATGTCCAAGGGACAACCATGTGTCCAAAATGTCTAAAATGGAACCGCCGCTCAGGATCCTAGGCTGAAAGTGGGTAATTTGTGACTAGTGTCACGCTGCTTACGCATTGGAGGACCATTACCTTTTACGAGGAATTAAGAGTAAGAAAACTCCCAAGCCTTTTGAGGATAATCTCTGGATGGTTAGACGATGAATAATTTGTTCTTCCAACAATAAGAATGTAGCAATGTTTTCACGAGTTTCCATGTAGTGGTTCGTTCGTATCTAGTTTACTACGTCGGTCATACAATAAGGATAAGCGTTCTATTCTGATACCAATGACTACCAGGCAGTGATTTCAAACATCCAAAATACGAAGGGGTGGGGAATGCGCTAATCAAATAGTAATTTATAAAACTAGCCAAGGATTTGCGCATAACTTCTGCACATAGTGACTGACAAATACCGGCGGAAACCAGTTTACAGGTCGACACGGGTAATTCCAATATGTACGCTGCTGTTTTGTTTTTTTTCTTAACACATTTCAAAAATTTCTCCGCAGTAAATGTTTTATACCTACATCATACTCTACGTACTGAAAAGCTACAAGCTGCGATGTGTTAATGTCTTCTACAGCCTTGAAGAAGATTTGTAGGCTCGAAGAAGCAGGCACAGAAATAACACACTAAGATGAAGTTAACGTCTTATGAAAATATCTAAAACATATCTTGGGTTAGTAAAATAATGTCAATATTGCTGGTTGTTGTAAATAACCGCAGCCAAAAACAAAAGGTTACATTTTAAAGTGGCACCATTGAGATCTAAAACCTTGTCTAAAATGGAATTTTACACTGGCGAGTTTTATCTACCCATTCATTCATTCATTTTTAAATAACACCTACGATAAAGATTTAGAGTAAATATAGCAGAGAAAAAAAGAATTAGAAGAATTTTCCAAATTAAGAAAAATCTCAAGCGCATAGTTAAAACTTCAATCATAATTCTAAGATAACGATGCGGGTAAAGGCACATGTGCTTTAAAGTCACGAATCTGTGGGTATTACAACTCCCCCCCCCCTCTCAGTAGTTACTGCTGTGGTTTTACTGGTATTACGACTCCGCCCTCTCAGTCGTTACTGCTGTGGTTTTACTGGTATTACAACTCCCTCCCCCTCTCGGTCGTTACTGCTGTAGTTTTACTGGTATTACAACTCCCTCCCCCTCTCGGTCGTTACTGCTGTGGTTTTACTGGTATTACAACTCCCTCCCCCTCTCGGTCGTTACTGCTGTGGTTTTACTGGTATTACAACTCCCCCCCCTCTCGGTCGTTACTCTTGTGATTTTACTGGTATTACAACTCCCCCGTCTCAGTCGTTACTCTTGTGGTTTTACTGGTATTACAACTTGCCCGTCTCAGTCGTTACTCTTGTGGTTTTACTGGTATTACAACTTGCCCGTCTCAGTCGTTACTCTTGTGGTTTTACTGGTATTACAACTTCCCCGTCTCAGTAGTTACTCTTGTGGTTTTACTGGTATTACAACTTCCCCGTCTCAGTCATTACTCTTGTGGTTTTACTGATATTATAGCTTCCTTGTCTTAGTCATTAATGTTGTAGTTTTACTTTAGAGTTTCTTATAAAATGAGAATTAGAATTTTAAACGTTAAGATATGCAAATATAGATCGTTAGAATGTTTAAAGGATATGATATGTCCATAGGAAGGTAGGTGGGTATGATGGTTTTGGCACGCACTGTAGTTTATACCGTGCAAATATAGATCGTTAGAATGTTTAAAGGATATGATATGTCCATAGGAAGGTAGGTGGGTATGACGGTTTTGGCACGCACTGTAGTTTATACCGTGCAAATATAGATCGTTAGAATGTTCAAAGGATATGATATGTCCATAGGAAGGTAGGTGGGTATGACGGTTTTGGCACGCACTGTAGTTTATACCGTTTTGTTTACGAGGGTTTGCATATCCAGATCTACATGGGTATCAAATACTTAAGAAAAATAAACAAGAGCTCCATGTTCAAAACAGTATTATGCTATTCTGGAAGACTAAGTATAACTTAGAACTAACACGTGTACATGCAAGGAATGAAAGAAACGTAGACTCCAACAACGTCTCCCCTACAATGCTTTCTAAATATACAAGTGCGTTTTACTGACTAGGTGCATTGTTAGAGTAAAAACCGCAAAGGCAAGGTTCCATTTTGGGCCTTCAAGAAAGAGATATAGAACACTTTAGAGTTTACTATACTTACACATTTCGCAACTCTTCGTATTAACACTTTACCACTACTCCAGATAAATGGATATTCGAAACTTTGGGCGTTTTTCTACATTTACTATTTGCATTGTATTAAAAAATATCTTTGACAAAGTGCGAAACTTTTTTTCTGTATGCATATGTTATAAAACAATATTTTATGAACATGAAAAATTGCTACGTGACTTCCGCCGAGGGGAGGGCATTATGTTATAAATGAAAATTATTTTTAAATTTAAGTTATTTTTACAACTTTCAGAAATTATTATAACCACTTACACCAGGAAATTTCAGCAGAAAATAAAAGTTAGTTACAATTAGGCTACAATTTTCAATTCAATGAATCTCTATTTCATGCTGAAAGCACGCGATTGAGATTTGAGAAAATGTATTACATTAAAAAAATACGATATTCAAAAGTTTGTTACACAAAGTGAGCATTAAAACAGAATTTATAATCTTTAAAAACTTCACCTCTTTCCTTAACTATTTTCACGAGCACGAGGAAGTTTTAGTTTTTGTTTTTTTTATAATCCTGGCAGGAACACTGAAAAGGGGTTACAAGAACGTTGTCATGGACAACATTAGTTGAGCACGATAGCATCAGTGTACACACACAGCGAGAATTCCAGTGTGTGTATGTTTGTTTAACGTTTTGTTTATATGCCTATTTCCTTTCTTTTACTAAGAAAGTGAACTTAAGGTTGTCCAGCTGGTTTCAATGTTCAGTTTCCATTAAAAACGATAAGGTATTAAGGAAGAATTTCCCCACACGAAGTCATACGAGATTATATTGAGAAGTATTCCTTACAACAATGGTTCTCAAATTGTGGTCTTCGAACCATTAATGGTGCGAGGACTGGTCCAAAATGAAAGTCACTGATGCGCAACGCTACAGCAATTCTTTACATTAATTTTTTTGTTTTGTTTTTGTCGTTGGCGAGTGGGGTAGGGTGGATAGGGGGTTCATGGGGGGGGGGGGGGATTTGTCTCGGCGAACGAAAATGTATGAGAATCACTACCTTACAAGATTATGTCCTTCACGCCCAATGAGAGCCGAAACAACCATAAAATTTCCAAACTGGTTATGAAATAGGTTCCGTTGTCGAATTTGTTAGCTTTCATACTAAGTTGCTGTATGTGCTTACTGAACAATGAAGTATCAGTTTCAATTTAGTTTAGACAAATACACAAAATTGTCATCACTGAATACCGAAAATTAGGCTCTATAACCTTTAAAGTGTAATTTTACGATGAATTAATATGCTAATGAGTAGAACAAAACAGAACCGATATACGTTGTATTAGCAGGTCCTTTGTCACTTTGTTTTGTCAGTATCAGTTTGTATTGTATTCCTTGCAATGAAAAATGTCTTTGTCGGTAAGAAAGTGTAATTTAATACTTGGTTAATAAATCTCCTTCGCTGGAGTTTCGCTAAGTCAAGTATTGTCCGAAACACGTACAACGTTTTTCATTTAAACAAAATTCAATACAAATAGTACATTGTTTTTAGCTTGCATGAAAAGGATAGCTTTTAAATGAGATATAGAGTAGTGTTCGATCAAAGGATTAGTTGATATCACAAAGTTATAACTTGTTTCGTCTATGAATAAACACAATTTATATGCCTTGGTTACTAATTCATTATTTATTGCTTTGATAATAAGTGGATCTAAGGGTTCGGGGTTCAGATGACGCTAAACATGTTCCGCATTTTCAGCTATGGGCACATCATAGAGTCAATTCCGTTATTCATCTCAAAAGGCCCTTGTGGCGACAGGTGCTACTTTCCTTCTGGTCAGTAATTCAAAATTAAGAGAACGCCGTATACCCGAATACTAAGGATTTCAGGCCTGGTATTTTAGCTCACTGCATATATCGTGTTGTTTAAGTTCAATATTTTAAATCCCATAGATTAGAAATAACATTTTTTGGATGTTGTTTGGGATGTTCCAAGTCTCCAATGATAAAATTGTACTTTGGAGATAAATTTGTTTAAGAAAGTACAGATCTGCTTGTACGTACTGACTATGAACGTGAGTGGTTTTAAAACATTACAGACGATTTAAGTAGTTTTGTAAGCTTAAACTACTTTCCACACCCTAAAAAAAACTACGAATTTACAAGTTAATTAATAATAAAAATAAATGTCATTATAACGACTATAACGCTTCTATGGGTTTGTGTGTCTAAAACTTTAACGAACACGTTAAAATACAGCAATCGTATTATTTTCAAATTATGTTGATAGTAAGCACGGACGGAGGGGGAAGAAAAAAAAATCGTTTACCACGTATAAAACTTCGATGAGTTTGTATGGGATTTGAGTTTTCTAATAAGACCTCGTTTATGTTATGGATAAGATAAGAAAAAACAAAACAAAAAATACCTCCCAAGTTCCTCGTGCAGTGTATATTCCTTTTTAATATCCTGACCTTTCTTCACCGCAACGTTTCTTGGTTCAAAAGGAGGTTCGAGCTCTGCAAATTAAAAAGCAACGTAGTTTTATAGAAAAAGTAAAAATATACCGACGTACTGAAACGTTCATTATACGAGTGAAGTATAAGACATATTGCATAGTGTGATAAAACCAAGAACGACGCATAATTTTAAGTTCAATTAAAACGTTGAATTATTTTGGTTTAGAATTACTAGTAAGTGAAATAGTAAAAACAATATTTTTCAAAGTGCGTTTGTTCACACACACACACACACACGTTTGTACAAGTTACTATGTTTATTACGTTGTTTAATGTTCGGATGTTGCCAGTTCGTAATATTTTTAATTGTTCTTAGTTTAGTATTCAACCATTTTTAAAGCCTTTCATATATTCATATTTAACGGTTTCAGTTTCTTAGGCTCCACTGTATATAAAAGCAGAGAGAAAGTAATTCCATTCAAAAGCGATCAAATTCCAAATTATTCTCAGTGTTAACAGACTGAAAACCAAATGATCAAACACCTCACTAATTATTTAACAGTATGAAGCGACGTAAAGAACAGAAAACACGTTAGACAACTAGGTTAAATATGATTTTGATATAGTGACTGTTGTCAAAAGGCTATGTCCAAGTTTAGTTTTATTGACACATTCTAGAAGTATAAGTGCTAGGATTAGGTAGAATCTGCATCGATTTAGTTAACTCATTAGGTATTTTACAAATTGAAGCTTTATTATACACAGAATACACATCTGCAACGTCTCTTGCTATTTTATTTGGCAGAACTGGAGTCACTGAAACAGGTTAAATATTATATACAACCTTGTTCTGTTATTTTATAACAAAAAACAAAAACAACGACAAACTACCATTTATAATTCTCAACTTGCACTTTGGCTCTTGGGACTAGCCTTCAACAACGACAATCGTAAGACTAATCAATTTTTGAAGGTTAAAAACCTATATATTGTGCGCCTTTATTTCTATTTATTTATGTTTTACACTAAAGATAAGGACGTATAAATTTAAACTAAGAGCGGGGAATGAGTTTTTGCGCGAATTAGTTTCATTATTTTATACGGTGCTTTGGAACCAAGATTCTACTGCACACGTTATGTAGTATCATTTTGGTGGCACTGGCGGCCTTGCCTGTGTCATTACCTTAGCTCCATCAATTTGAAAATTAAACATCACACAGACGAAAATCAACTTCAATATTTTTTCAATACAACCTTGCCGTTTCTACAGAGGTAATCAAACGCAAGACTCCTCAAAAAATTACGAATAGAATATAAAGATATTTAGAGAGGAAAGAAGTGTCCAGAACAAGCTACAAGTTGTTTTTCTCCTGCAAGAAGATTTGGATATTTGGAGAACCGTTACATCATTGTGTTTGAACTGAATTAGTAAAGTAATCATTAATGACAAATAAAAACGCGATATTTAAAGTAAATACCTCCGTCTGGTTCTGTCTCGTCAACATAGATCATATTAGAGTGGCCACCTAGAAGAAAAAAAAAAATCATGACTTGTATTAGAAAGTTAGTACAAGTTAAATAACACCCCATTTATACCTGTATCATAGTTATGTTTAGTCAACTATGGATCACTATTTTAAAAATATCTTGAAATTTGCTGTTTCATTATTTTAAAATTTAACAAAAAGAACGTTCACACTTAATATCGAATTGACAAAAAATACTAGATAATTTAGATCTATTTTAGCTATATAGTAGGCTATCAGCACTGTGTCCCACGTGGGTATGAAGCCCCAACTTTTGTCGTTGTAAGCCATAAAGAATAGCTACTAGGCGATAATGGTAGTTTAAGAAAGCTTAGTTGTAAGTGGTGATTTTATGAACGACTGAATATATTCAAAAATCTGAAATCGACACATATAATTTATATTTAAAATAATTAAATGAATTAAAACATTACGTGACTTAAGCTTGGCGTTTCTAATTGTTTTTATTAATTTTTACTTTAAGAATGCCAATATGTTTTGTGATAGTATAATAGGATCATTAAGGTAAGTGATAAATGTTTAAATGAGTAATCCTTCAAATGTTGCACAAAAATGTAAATGTAAAAAAAAAAAAAAAAAAAAAAAAATAACGACGATGTCTGTTTCATTTAGAAGTATTTAATCAAAAACAAATCTCATTGAACTTTATGCTGGAACACTTTATCGAATGAATAATAACAATATATTAAAGCAGAATCTTTCTAGCCCATGAACATAACGGAAAGCATGCGAGCAACAGCCTGAGAGTTTGTATTAAAGATTGCGAAAGATTTAGAAAGTTTGTCAAGACCTTCCAAAATCGAATGCAAACTTAAGATAGACACACATTAAGAGGACATTATCTTAAAACTTAAAACATGGAAGTGACGGCTATAAAAGTAAGTACCCATTATCATGTCTTAGTCGACTTTAGTGATAATAGAACAGTTTAAACTGTTCATCCAACAAAAAGCACGTTTGTATATCAGACGTATATCAGATTGTATAATTCACAAAAGTATTTAAGAGCGAACAGTTTAAGTTTAAGGCTCTAATTATGAATCACAGAAAATACTGGCTATTTACATAGAGAAAAAAAATCTTGTTACAATTTAAGAGTTTGCCAAACACATTTTCATATACATGACGTACTAGTGTTTTTATAGTTAAGATAACCTTATTAAATACAAAGATGGAATGAAACAATGAGATTTATAAACTAAGAGTTAAATTGTATCAAGAAGTAATATTTGATTAATTAGTAGCCACCTTTTCTGAGAACAAGTTCAAAAACATAAAAAAAAAAAAGTGAATATCTGCTCCAGTAAGAGTAGTGAAATTTTAGGTGTTTATCATAAATTTTCCTAGTTAAGGTGAGCCAAATTATGTTGTATCTCACCTAAGTTTGAAAACGTACGAAGGCATAAGTTAATTCTTCGTATTTTATGTAGTTAAGTTTGTTTAAGAATGATATAATTAAAACCAACAAATTGTTAGATCCACAGATTGAGATGCAAGTATGATCAACAGCAGTAGAGTTTCATCTAAGAATTAACTTTGCTTAGAATTATTACACGTTAAGATTCTGGACATACAATGCTCTCAGGCAAGCCCCATTAAAACAAAAAAATGAAACCAGAGTTTCCGACTTCTCTATCTTCGCATATGACCAACATCATAAACAGCCCGCTGAGGATGGTTTATTAGATTTTATCCAACAAGAAAGGTAAAGTTAAAGACAATTTATGGGCCTAAGACAACCTTTAAGTATAAAAACTGTACTAACGTCCATAAAATTAAGATTTTCCTTCTTCTGTCTGCTGTAAATAATTTTCCTAATTAGATCTTTCGTTCATTGTTGGAAAAAGGTATTACTTAATGTATACGTGTGCGTTATTTGCCTTAAAATATTCAGAAATTTTCAGGTCTTAGCACATAACTGTGGGCCGTTCGTTATTCTGACATTAATTGTTAGATAATGACATATACAACAAATTAGTTTGGGATCCTAAAGTAAATTACAAAGATAAACGTGATAAAAACATTTGCATTACAAGAGATTTCAGGTAAAACAAATGAACAACTGGATGTAAAGAGGGCTGATATTTGTATAACAGGATTTCTTTCTCAAACTTTAAAATCAATGCATCCAAATATCATCCATTTATAACATTAAATATTAAAAAGTTACTAAATATTAAGCAGTTCGTTGTGGCTAATGTATATAAAATGAAAGCTTTACTTTTAGCAGAGTAAGGAAGGCTGTGGTTGTAAGTATGCTTAAATATCAGAGCAGTACTAGTTTACCAGAGAGAGAGAGAGAACGTCTAAGATATAATGTCGGGTTTAATATATTTAAAAAAAACCTCAAATATTCCCTACTGGACTGTTCAAGGGTAAACTGAACAGGTTTTTTTCTGCACTATGCCAATCATATGATCGAACCCCGAATTTTAGCGTTAGAAGTCCAAGCTTACCGCTTAGCTTCAAGGGTGCTGAACATAGAAATCAGTCCAAAAGAGGAGTTTGACTATAATAGATAGTTAATGACAAAAACATTTCAAGCCTTATTGAGCAGCTAAAGTTTTATCAATATTACAAAAAAAAAAAAATTAATTGACATGGTTTTGAATCTTACGAGTTATATTGTATTTTCCATCACAATATATATTTTTAAGTCAATAACACGAAGATATATAATCTACTGAATCACAAAAAAAGATGAACATCTAAAATACGCAAGGAAACTGATTCTGTTTGTGACATAACCCAGTAAACATTCAACAGCTTTAACTGAATTAAGTGGTACATTCTTTTGAAATCGGCGTTAGCCTCGTGTCACTGGATTGCGTGGCTTAACCATTCCAGTGCTCTGAGTGTACAAAATGTGACGTTTTACATCCAGAAGCGGAAGTGCAACAACATTACTAGACTAGGGGCGATGGGTGGGCAGAATCCACTGGAGAGCTCTGCCCCCTTCCCATTCGAGATATCAGAATTTCATTTTAAGATATTTAAATTCTCATGTTGCGACTTTCACAGACATAACTGTATTGAATATTTTGATTAATAGGAATAGTCCCACTATGTCACTTAAACTGAAAAAAATACCTCCAATCAGATTAAAACTAGTGGTCGAGTTTAATGGTAGTTTTAAAAAGCACCAGGTCGCCGCGAAGCTGTGCAAAGTGCTTGAGGTAATTTCGTTTTTTGTTTTTGTAATTAAAAGCGATACACTTCTCAAAAGATCAAAAGTGCCTATTTCTTTTGTATTTAATAACGCTTAACCCTCCATTCTGACCCCTCAAAAACTGTACTAAAATTAGAAACTGCTTATCATTTTGTACTTATGTATTCGCTTCGAAGGTCCAAAACCTTACTGCAGCATAGAAAGTGAGCTTGACATACAACACCAATTATATTCACGATACGCTACAGGAATCACACGAGCGAGCCGTGTAATGACGTATATGCTGGCACAAAATTTAACAACAAAACAGAAAAAAAAGAGAAATACATTGTCACGATTGACGTCAGTACCTTGTATAAATGCACAAACCTTATGAGTAAGTAAACACGTTCTTCTCGAACCATTCAAACTAACAATGTATTCATTAAAAGCTGAAAGTGAATTGTAGTTTTTCACACTCATAGAACTAATAAGAAAGACGCCGGAAGATTAGATTTGAACTAAGTACAACCTAGACTGAAAAAAAAAAGTTTTACAACTTAGAACGCGAGTTTGAAATCCTTGAAACAATGCAACTAATGTATAAAATTTAATAATTCTTCTTGAGTATTCTTTGAGAAACGTAAAGAATTGTTTAGATTTTAGACAATAAATCCCATACTTAGTAACGATAACCTTCAACTTTGGAATGCTTTTATCATACAATTATTGAAAAGATGAAAGGGAAATTGAAAAAAACATAATAGAGATTCCCCCCGCCCCTCAATAATGTTAAAGATGGATGTAAGCACATTAATACCACAACTCCCTCGGTAATGAAACCGTGCCCAGTTCACTTGTGAATTACGCAAAAATAGAGAAATGTAACCGGATTGTCGATTCAATAGACGATTTACACATGCAATACAAACTTGTCTTTGTTTGGTCTTTATGTTCTTCGGGTGTATTCCTGGAGTCTGCAGACAGCTGTTACCAAGGTTACGGAAGCTATTAATCTTCATTAGCTTCCTGTGCTAAGTGAAACAAACGGCCAATATCCTTTTAATAAGCAGGTGTACAATCACGATCAGGGTTCGCAGTAACTAACAACCCCCCCCCCCCGATTATATCCAAACTATTCCCGAACAGTGAAAACAGGTCTTACCAGATTAGTCCAGTTAATCTGGTGAATTCATGTAAATATACAAATCCTACATATTATAAATAAATAGGTATACACCATTTGACGTGACAATATCATAGGTTTGTAGGTTTTGTTTTGCATTTAGTACTTTTCCTTCCAATCTAGCATGACAAATGACAACCAAGGAAAAATTCATTACCTCTGCATAGAAGTAACCACTAGCATACCATTCAGAAGCTATTTTTGGCAAGTGATAAGCACCGGTTCACTGGCATACACGAGCAGCAGCTTCTCCGCCAGGAGGTTGAATAGTCTTATACTTCTACATTAAAGCAGTTTTCTCAAAATCCCCCTACTTCCTTGCACAAAAACTTCAGCTATAAGTTTAAAAACGGTAACCATACGTCTTGGGTAATGTGGTATCAAAACTTAAACTTCCGTTATTTGTTTTTAATACGTTTGCTGATTTTATAAACCGATAAAATCTTATATTTGAAATGATAATATGGAAATATGTCTTAATTGCTCTTTTTTAGATGTGTAATGCATACGATATATACAAATCACCCAACACATTTAAAACATGGTGCAAGGAAATCGTTTCAATATTAAACTAGAAGTTATTTTGTTGCTGCTTTTTTTTTTTTTTTTTTGAAAGTGCATCAGTAACTTAAATGTGTACTATTA